CCCCAAAACCCCAAAACCCCAAAACCCCAAAACCCCAAAACCCCTTATAATCCAGAAGTTTTTGAACCAATAGTATAATTCTACACAAAAGCCATTGTAGCGTGGTGCACTGCGTTCTGGCGTTTTCTGGCTCTTTGCTTTGAGAAAAGTGTCCTATTAGGCTTCAGAGAATTCTCTACATATTTTTAAACTGTCTGGCTTACTTTTAGTCCATGTGTCGTAAATTCCTGACATGTTTCTGGGAGAATTTAGTAGTTCAGGACGTGTTGAAGATTTCTCCATCGAGGTTCTTATCTATTAAATAGCTAATTATCATTGGCAAATTTAAAACTGAAAGAAGTTAGACTTATTATTTAATTCTATATGAAATCTGTATAATATCTTCATGCTTACCCCAGCTTTGATCATATAATTATTAATCCTCTTTGGTTGAGAAAGTTGATTGATCCGATGATGATTCACTTTCCTCTCATCTCTATTTCTTGGAGATTTATTCAGAGATGTAATGTCAATACTATCTTTCGTTGAAGTATAAGACTGCAATTCTTCAATAACCTTGATATTTCTTTGATGAAGATAAGACTTAAAACTTCCTTTTCCATTCCTGTTTCTATGAAATGAATAAATTTTCTGCTTAGTTTGTGCAGACTCTTGCTGGTGTTCTTCATGATCATCCTCCTCTAAAAATATTTGTATTAGATGCGACCACCAATCCGAAGCTGATCCAAGAGATTCTGCTTACTTATCATCAAATTTGAGTTATTTTCCTGGACAGGTTCATTAAGTTTGCGTGCTTTCAAAATCGCCTGATTCATATCGGAATGTTTGCTGATCTAAACTATCAGAAAATACAATTAGATGCACCCACCATCACAGAATTATGCCTCTCCATTGTTAGGTTAATCTCTAGATGTTGAACCAGCTTACCTTCCTGAGTGAGACCTTCTTCACTGGTGCAAGGACGATATTCTTAATACTGTTTCTCTGGTCCTTGCTTATCCTACACAACTCAGTTAATTGGCAAATACCGTTTCTTCTTAAACCTTATCTTATTTTCGCATGACCAGGATTTATTTCTAAAGTATTCTATTAAACCTAAGACTTTGGGTAATAATCAAAATCAGCAATCAGGTTTGGATAGGAATTTAACAGTCAGAGCACTAGTTCAGTGCAACATGAAGCCTGTTTTACTTACAAGTGAGAGATTCAGAATGAGCTTCATTTTACGTTTTGGAGCTCTTCGATCCCAGCTAAATTTCTCCTAAGTTATAAGTCTCCAAAAATACTTGGTAATTTTTTATTTTCTTTACAAGTGAATCTAACTTGTAGTAATAATCTGACTTGGTCATTCTTGACTCCCTCAACTGTATAGCTTTCTGGATACTGTAGAAAGGAGTTAAACCAACCGATAGAGGAATTACTTAATCTTCTTCTGAGCATGATAAGACTCAATAGTTTGGTTTCATACACTAAAATATTACGGTAAATATCTACTTTTGATCTGGATCCTCATCTGTTATTAATGAAGGCGAGAACCCTGCCCTGCTTTTCATTCCAACTGAGGATGATCGTTCCATTGCTTTCATCGAGTAAATAATAAATTCAATCTGAGCTTGAAATGCAGGGGTTTTGGGGTTTTGGGGTTTTGGGGTTTTGGGGTTTTGGGGTTTTGGGG